AGTAATCTGCATGGTTTAGGTTAGTTAAGTGGGGTGGGGGTAGGGGTTTTGCCCCCCAGCCACACATTTGTGGATGGTCTATACCTGGTAATATGACAATGGACAGGGATTGTAAACTAATTGCCAATATAATTTCTTCTATTTGTTCACTTTCTGGTGTGTACTTCCTACCGTATATATGTAAACGTATGAGTGACATTTGGGATATAAAGTAACCGTGAATCACAAATATGAATTTTCGGAATTTGAATTTTGATTTCGACAACAGGACGAATTGGCAGGAGCCAAACATGGTAGACCCAAATGCAAAGAAAATATCAAGATTGTAAATTTTGCAACGGACACACGTCCCTTCAATATTCGACTCGCAATATCTAAAAAACTATGACAAATACAAAAAAATACATACAAGCGGTTTTGTAGAACATTGAATTCCCTATAAAAAAGATTCTATGTTGTTCATTTGTATCTTATATGTTTCTTCGAAGGAATTGACAATCGTTGTGTCAACAAACGTTTTTAACTAAATGAATTGTATCTAAGAAACTATACGAGATACGATAAAAAGGCATATCACCTGTCTTGTAGGGAATTACATTTTCTACTGAAAAGGTCGTATGGAAGTTTATTGCATCTCGCACAATATTCGAGATATTTAACAAAAATTAAAATATCTAAAATCAAAGAAAGTAATTAATATCTCCCAAAGTAATTGAAGTATCGACGTTTCCTTTAAGAGGATGTTTGTTCATACCATACACAACTATAATCAAGTTTCCAGCCCTGGCGCCACGATAACTGTAATGTTCTTAAAACAGCATAATCCATACAATGTATAGTTTTCTAAACTTGGTTAGATAACGCTCCTACAATGCAAAACGGCGAACAAAAGGTTTGTTCTTTATCACAGAACTGAATATTCACATTTACGCGGGAAGTGAAGTTTTACGCAGTGCTCCACATTACTTTCCGAATAATATTAAAAGTCAAAGGATATTTTAATAGGTGCGCATATAATTGTAATGTTTGATCTGAAAAGTCGAGTGTTAGATTGTGGAGAAATGACGTTTGGCTTCATTTAATATAAGGTCGTCGTGTCTGTCGTAGAGACGGTCAAAGAAATGGAAACAAAAGTTATTTAGTTAACGGATAGAGTTACTCACAATAAGCATTCCTATAATGAGATTACTCATCGATACGGAAGCAATCACTTTCCGAATGGGGGAGCTGCTCAGAAGATACCCTTCGTTTTTATTCTGGCCTGTTCTTTCTTGCACTATCGAAGGCACGAAATTGATCCAGAATTTTTACTTGCTTATCGTATGTAGAGGTAATCTCATTTGCATCTCTATAATGGATTTCTTGCGGGGATTTGAGCTGAAAACGAATTGATTAACTCGATCCACCAAAAGGAACAATTAGGGACGCGCTCACAAAGACGGCCGTCATAAATGACAAACGGATTTTAAATAATTCTCCTTTAGTGATGTCGTTGTGCATATTTTCTGAAAGGTACTCGTTCCATAGTCATGAAGTCTGCCCCCCTATTGCGTATATATTCTTGTAATATTAATCTGAGAGTTCTTCGGAAACATACCAATATTTTCTACGGATCGATTTGATATGTTGAATACTTTTTTTGCGAATATTAGTTTAAAAAAGGTATATAGTGTCTTGTGCACCAATGAACGACATTTCTTGAATATCCTGCAACGTAAGGAAGAAAAGGCGAAACTGGTAATATTTAATGATGTTTTCTGAAAACGATACAGCGAGGCATCTTGGGCTTCTGTGAATGCGTTGTCCTTTAACCGGAATTTAAAAAATGGTTATAAAATTCATATCATTTGTGGAAATTTTTCAAAGGATACGGAAATCAATTACTACGTTACCTTCTCTTTACACGTTATAACTACCGAAATATCATGGCGTCTCTGCATGTTAAAGCACAGAAATTTGTCACACCGTGAACGTCGAATTATGGTGTGACTGCCGCATAAAGAACAACGTGGCGCTTGTATAAAATTCTGTTGACTGAATGCAATGTCAACGAGATTTTCAAAACCATCAGGTCTTTGATTTAGACGTCTGCTCTTGTGCCATGCATAGGTGAACGGTTTGTGATATTTTGGCGACAAAAGCTGGAATGTACTAAATATTGTAATTTTATTACATTATTGCGCGTTCATAAATTGATGTCGTAATCAGCTAATATAACAATATCGGTGAATCTTCTTACGAAATTTTTCTAAATTCGAAATCCGTAAACGTCGAAAGATTGAATCATCCCTGTTGTTGTTTGTAGGTATTTTAAATATTTCAATATCTCTTCTAGCTGGTATAATTTCCTTTAATGAAGAGGAGCAATGACCTATTCATGAATCTATTAATAACACCCTACGAGGTCCAGTGATTGGTAGGTAACTGTGTAAATCGTTGTGCATACCATTCGTGAAGAAGTGCCGTTGTTAATTTTTCCAGAAGTTGATGCCGCGAGATAAACATTCGGTTGTTGGAATAAACTTTCCAGAACTCGCGGTCTAAAAGTTCCACTTTATTCTTTTAATACAACGATTAATAGCGGGACAAGTTTACCGGAAGCGGATATTATAGGAAGTATGGTATAGCTATGAGTGATAGTAGATATAGACTGTACTACCTTCGACCGTTTTTGACCCTTGAATAGCTAATGTTCGACCAGAATGCAATTCCAAAGTGAAACCACTTTCGTCGACATTAAATATATTATTTAAACCATAATTTTGGGATGTATGGTTTTACACGGATTACATAATTTCAAAAATTTCATCTAATTTCGTGGCATCCGTCTCGGTTGATCGACTTATAAATTTACTAACTTTCCGGGGCACTGTTTTATACGATTTCTTAAAATTCCAAATCCAGTGCTTTGACGATTTGAAATCCTGCAGTCCTACTTCTTCATTGGATTGCAATGCCCATTTCTACAAATCTAAATCGTGAATAATAACACGGGCTTCCGTCTTTTCGAGAAAAACATTGAATACGTGTTCCGACATTTGCAGTAATTTATTCCTTCATGTACCTCTTCTCTCCACAGTTTCCTCCCATCTGATTGTATGTAAAAGAACTAGTGTTCTTGCAGTATTTTCACTATACTTTGTCATCAAATTATAATATCAATTCCCTTACATGTATAACTGCTGCAAAGTTCCTTCCTTAATTTTTTTTTTACTGTCTCCAAAGAACGTCGTTTTCCTTTTCCACTTTTCAGTAAGCGACTGCTTTCTCTTTATATTCTAAATCCACTATACACCCTTCTTTCGGCACGCATGACTCGTTCTCAATTTCATTGTTTCTAAATTTTCTTCGTGCGTAGGTGGTACCACGTCGTCGACAAATTCAATCGAATGAGGTCTATACGATTCTAAAAATTCTAGTGTCGCGTCATTTTTAATGGAAAATTGTGTATCCTGTTGACTTCTTCTAATTGTATCACTCAAAAAACCATGCGATTCCATTTCATGACTATTAGGAAATGTTTGCGCGTTGTGTATAACACTGTACGTTTCCATCAGCGGAAGAATAACATTTACAGGATTCATTAAAACCATTTTTATAAATGATTTTGTTAGCCTGGATGCTCTACACGATACTCTTTAGAACTGACAATGTCGCGAAAACTTACAACAACAGTACTTAAACCGAAATACCCATATTTTCTTACGAGATTAATGAAACAAATGAGATCCCCCATCTAAAAACACCTCCGTGTAAAAGAACATTGCCAAGTATAGGGTTGCAATGAATATCTTTTACAAAAATTACTGTTTCCGCCCTACATCAAGTTTCTGCAAAAAAAATGTTCTTTCCAAAAATGACGATTTCTATGAAATTTCCATCCAAATGTTACCTTTCCAAAAATCACCATTTCTGTCCTGCAATAAGTCTCTGTAAAAAAATTACTGAAACCATATCACAACACCAAGTATGTACGTCACTTAACTCTTTGAGGATTGTAATTGAACCACCGGTATACATAACAATAAGGTAAAGGCACACATACGTGTCTTTGGTCGTTAAAGAGTTAATATCTTTTCTTCTAATTGAAAGTATCTTTTTTCTATATAATTCAACACTACATTCCACACTTCCTAGATTCACTATATCTTTGCGTTATTACTACAACAGCAATTATTTGTAATCTAATTGTTACTTACTAATATGTTTAACGCTACGTGATTCCTTATCGAGGACTACTTGACGGGTCGCTATCCAAACTGAACATTTTAACGGCAATTGTCATAACGTATAAATAAATACATTTTTACGAAAAAAATGTTACGTCTAGCAAATTGTGCGTTGTTATACAAATTATTGCAACAGATTATGAAATGCAGGAAAATAATTATTTAAGAAATTTGCAGGGTCATAATATTTGGAGCAATGGCAGAATACGAAATAATGTGAGCGCAATTTTATTTTGTTTTCAAATTGCTTGGAGATAATCTATAGCAGAAATTTAAATACTACAATATTGGAGGGATTGGTCATTTAACTAATAACCGTAATATTGTTTAACAGCAATTTTATATTCCCTAGTGAACTTCTTGAAATAGGTATGCAAGATTAAGAACGCAGGAAACTGGATGTGTGGCGTTAAACTTTTTGTAACGCTGCAAGTGGAACACTTTGAATATTTATTTTTCATTACATTTAATTTTAGAAGTATTAAATTCAACAGATCTTATAATATGAAAAACGCCTGTCAAGATAATATTACAGGGAGGACTTAAAATATTTCAGCCTATTCTATATATTCGTGCATTTTTCACTCGTGTCGTTAAAAAAAACCGCATGAACTTACGCCTCTACCCAATATAGCCATTAATTTTCTGGAATGTCTAAAAATTCCAAATGTATTGATTATAGTATACATATAATGCATATTCTAATATCGTGGTTACTTACAACTTTTCAGAGTGATTTCTAACTTCTTGTTATTTTTTGTATGTTCGTAGGAGCGACCGGGCTGAGGGACTTAAAAATCATCGTACCACCGATGGTAAGATCCGGGGACGCGGCATTACTGACATGCAACTATGACTTGATCGGCTCTCAACTGTACTCCATCAAATGGTACCTGGGGGATGAAGAATTTTATCGTTACATCCCGAAGGAAGAGCCACCACATGTGACATTCCCTGTAAAGGGAATGATGGTTGACGTAAGTATTCCGAACAGGATGATTATCTTGAAAGCATCAAATTAGGTAGCACCAGGGCTATGTGATTAGCTGAGTTGAGTATTTTTAACACTTATCCCAACACCATAAGATGTGAGTTACCGTATCGTTGCGAACGCGTGACAAATATATTACAAACATACGGGAAAGGTATCGCAACATGTTTGCAATAATTTTAGGAGGTATATTGCTGAGATTTCAACGGTGCAATATTTTTCTCAATGTATTTATTGCGATATCGCCCAGCCACACACAAAATTACCTCCGCAATATGTCTCTGTTGAATATCACATTTATGTCAAAAGTATTTATCAATTCATCTTTGCATCTATCCTATTATTTTTGTAAGAGAATAACCAGCAACAGTAAATATAAAAGGGTTGCTACTTCATTTAGAGGTTGGAACAATTAGACCAAATACGTTTTTGAGAAAAAGGCTTAAAAGTGCCGCATTAGATGGAATAAGTCCATCAACGGCAGTGAACAGCTCTGAGAACACGAGAGGAAAGACAGTCGATGGCGCGCCTGACCAAGTTGGATGATTTGTGTCTTTATACATCTTCGGGTTTTTTTTTTTTAATTTTAACCCGTTGAGAAGAATTCTTTGCGGTAAGCCATGTGGGTTGTAACGTGGCGGGTCATGGAGTCTTTTCCACGTTCCAAAGTGGTACCCTTTCCTGGTCGAGGGCCTCCGAGGCACGGGGAGAGACCGAGGAGTTCCGCCGTGACGCTAAGGCTCCGTTGAGTAGCCGGAGCAAAGCCTGCGGTCGGTAAGGGGACCTCGCAAGGAGCCAACACCCCGAAAGTGAATCCGATGTCCCTTTTCTGGAGTTCCGCGAGACGCCGTGACCCCGCGGGGCCCGGAAAAAAATGGGCGCGGTAACGGGGGGTCGCGAGGGCCCCTCAGTCTGCGTCGAGCCCGCACTCGAATTTGAGAGTATCGATCGGGAGTTGACTCGAACGATTTTTGGAGAAAAGGCCCAGTTCGGCCTTGCGGCAACTGTCGGTTTACGGTCGGGACAGCGAAGTGAAGTTTAGTTAAGTGCTGGGCGTGTGAGCGTTTAGGGAAGTGCTGGGCGTGTTAGCGTTTAGGGAAGTGCTGTGAGTGGGTGAACCTAAGGCCTGCGAGGAAACGACGAAGTCCACCCCGAGGCGGTCCCTCCACGCAGAGACGACCGGGACCAGGCGTCCGAGGGCGGCTGCGCGACCGAAGGGAGTAACCGAGGGGCGGTGAGTCGCGTTTTGCGGGGTCCGTTCATGTCGTTAGGGGCCTCCGCGGTAGTTTTCTCGCGTCGTCTAGTGAAGAGTTGTGCGCGTTCCCGAGCGAGGGATTTGGCGTCTACTAGCCAGGGTCTCGCCTTTGTAGCTTTTGGTTCTCTTTACTTTATTTTATTAAAGCGGAGAATAGCTAGCACGTCGCGTGTTCTTCCGTTTTAGTTTACTTTGCTCCCTTTCCAGTTCCGCAGCGGCCAGAAGCCATCCCCTCTCCGACTAGTCCGGAATCAGCCGGTCAGAAGAGGAAGTTAGACAGTAGAAAAGATACGCACTCGCACGGTGAATCCTGACTGGCGTCCTGAAAGGATCGGGGAAGTGAGTCCACTACCGGATCCGCGTTTTAGAGTAAAAAATCAGTCCAAGTTTGACGACGGGAGTTCGATCCTGCGGACCGAAGCTATGGACGTAGGGTCGCCGTCGCAGTATAGACGCATCACTATTCATGAGCCACTTGCCATTACTCGATTCCGATATTGTATTCATAACATTTTAAAGTTTCTTACTGAACGCAGTTTAATTATCTTTGTTTAGACCTTTGATCGCTCTCTTTTTATTAATAAGGACAGTTGCGTGCAAAGTGTCCCTCTTTGCGATAATTGTAGCAAGTTATCGTACTTGTGTTTAGCTCCTCTGACCCTTTCAGCACTTACCACATTGAAATCGAAAGACTCGCCGCCGCCGCAGCTGTCCGGCGCATCCACGACCACTAAGGTGGCTTGGCAGAATCGCAGCCATCCGGGTGAGACGTTTCGTCGCGATCATTGGCCAGTCCTCGACGCTGCAGGGCCCGCCCGCGCTCGGTCTGTATAAATCGTCCATTTTAGGAGCATATTCCCCAATCGGTCCGCAAAACTCAGCGCACCCACCTCTCCGTTCGGATCGCAGCACCCAGCGCTGCCACCTCGCCACGAGGACCGTTGTCTTCAAGAACAATTCAGAATAAAAGGTCTTGTTTGTTTGTTGTTTGGATTTCCGACCTTTTCCTAAGGGCCAAGTACCATCGTTTCTTTTTTATTCGCTAAAGCTATGCGAAGCCCCTCCTTGATGGTCACCCATCCAAGGAGCGACCCCGCGCCCGACGTCGCTTAACTTCGGTGATCTTACAAGAACCGGTGTATCGACGCGGCTTGAGCATTGACAATAAAACGTCTTCCACCAACTCGCATCGGCTGTTTCTTCTTGTACCCTACTCTCTTGGACCCCGAGCAACTCAGTCAAGGACGGAGGGAAAAGCTCGCTCTCGCGGCACGAACTTCTTCCTCGCTTCCCTTTTTCTTCCTCTGTTTCGCCAACCAGCTAGTGGTCACAATAAAGGGTCAAAAATTGATAAAATCGAGGCTAGTAAACTGACAATTCTGCGTCACCTTAAAGAGGATTTGACTTTTTCAGGTGTCCAATTCTAACAGGCAGGATGTGACGTTGTTGAATGTGACACGAGAATTGTCCGGACGTTACAAGTGCGAGGTAACAGAAGATACATCGTCCTATCATACCCAAATAAAAGAAGCAATGATGGAGGTCGTAGGTACGTTTCGGTAACTTCTTCCTAAATCTAGATAAAAACGAGAGTTTCATATTTTCCTGAACGATAAATGCAAGCTAGTCCATCAACTCTGTTCATTTCTAAATACCTAGTTCATTTTTAACAATGTGAATAAAATATTAAAAACTAAAGTTTGATGGTCTCAACAGGACGGTAAAATACATAAAACTAATTTGTCCTAATTCGCGATTTTAATGAGATATTAAGGTGAAGTGAAACGCGTCGAGGAACTTGATCGACGTCGGTAAAGAAGATTTTTCTAAGTATCCACGTTGCCGACGTTCGTTCTTATATTGACAGCTGTGTCGAATTATATTGGGCATTGTACTAAATGGCATACGCCACCTGTCGTTTTCGTACATTAATTATAAAGAAATCGAAGTAAAACTCTAGAAATCCTCTGCATTCATGGGTTTCTGAGGCTCTAATTCATTGCAGACCCTCTGCGCTATCTGTGATTTCCACGTCAACTAAATTTTCACCCCGAGACCTTGTATTACCATCGTTTTAGCACAGAAGCGCATAAGACACTTTTTTTGCCTTTATCTCGTTCAAATGCGAGTTTCTCGATTACCAGAGTATTCTAAATTGTCATAAAATTGTCCTGACACTTTCGTTTTTCATATCAGAGCCTTCAATAATTGTATATTAATCGGAATATGAGAGCTCGACGTCATTTTGGTTCTGGTCTCGGCTGAGTTAAAAAATGATTGTCAAAAAACCAAATTTTGAATGTGTCCGAACAATTCTTAGATGAACACGAGTCATGTGTCAAAGTTTCGAACAGTTTGGTCCAATATTCTTTAAAAAATGTGTTTTATTCGAATCGGCTGATTTGAGGGGGTACTTCACCTTAAGACTTATTTTAATGAGTATTAAGTGCTCCCAATATTAAGTGTTGGCATGACTGTTAAGTTTGCGGATCTCTCCTTGAAATGCCTGAAATTGAGCTAGTATCAGGAGACAAGTAGAATCAGCACGAGCTTCTTCGACTTCCAATTGTCCCTTACTACGCTTGAAGGCAACCGCGAATTTTTAACAAATCGAAGACACACGCGTTGCAAACGGGGCAGGATGGAAAATTGATGAAATAGCTCGAAAGTAGGGGCAACTTGAGCAGCCAGAACTAACACTGGTCCTGTCATATCTAAAGTTGTCTTTTAACGAAAGACATTCTTTGACCAATTTCATACTTTCATTTTCCATGAATACTAGATGTTCCGGACATCGATCCTATTATTATGGTTGAGAGACAACGTATACCGGTAGGCGAGACACTTCGAGCGAATTGCACTTCCGGAGCTTCGCGTCCTGCCCCCATCATTTCATGGACCGTCAATGGTGGCTCCGTAAGTATTTCAATCATTTCTCATGACTCGATGTTACGTGAGGGCATTTCGCATGTCTATAAACTCTGTCCGAGATTTCATGACAAGGTCTACGATTCCCTAATAGCGTTGAGTAACTCATTGTAAGTCCACTGGCGCTAGTGGTCCGCTCATATGCGATATTTGTCGCTCTCAATTGTATGTTCGAATAAGTAAAGTTCTTAAATTAGTAGCTTCGTTTCGTTAATCTTATTGTTAAGGTGATGCGAATGTGGCGTCAAAGAGATATCGTTTGTTAAACTTTTCTCCGAACTGGATGTACCAACTCGATTCAAACTTGACAATGTGAATATGGCAGCTATAAGGAATGTCCTGAAACCCATGAAATTTCAATTTTAAGATAATATGTTTATAGTTATTTTCAAGAATTTTATAACAAATGAAATTTCGCGAGTTTCAAGACCTACCTTAGGGTCTCCTTATTTGTGTGGTAAAATTTGAAACAAACTGGTATACCCAGTTGCAAGAAAAGTTTCATGAATGACTGGCCCGTAAGATGCTACTTCCACGTTCGCTTAAAGACTGTGCATTCTTAAAGACTGATTATTAATAAATTTTACTTCAAGTTAAGCATTTCGTCCCAGGCACGGTTCTGTCTATCCCGTGTTTGCGACTACTCCGGATACAGGGTATCTTGCTAGCTTAGTGTCCACTATCGGAAACTATTGTTTCAATTCTCCTCTCAATAGTTCAACAATTTAGTTATGAAACTGGAATTCTATTACGATGTACCAAGCTAATGTTAGTTTCTAAATTGGACCCTTGGTTGACGAACGTTAGAGTTGTCTGACACTCGTGCGCAAAGGGCCAAAGCCAAAAGTATAGTCGCGACACCTTGTCATTGCCTGATGATGACGACTGCTCGGGTATAATAAATGAGGGCTTCTATATTTAAATAATTACCAATGAAGCGCAATGATTTTACCCTCATATCAAATATTAATTAATTGAAACTGTTACTTCCTTCCAAACGTCTTACTCCCTGGCCATGGAAATATTTTTCACGGGTGTTTCAAACTTGGGGTTACCAGGAGGAACGACCTAATGTAAAATTTATTAATGTTGACTTATCTCTTGTTGCAGCTTAACGATAGTGGCACGCAGTACAAAGTGCGGTCTTTGAAGATTCCTCACGATGGGATGCAGTTGACCAAGGGGAATCTTGAAATGAAAGTGTCAAATGTTCTCTTCCAGAGTGGCAAGTTGCGCTTACGCTGTTTTGCGGAGATTCCACTCGTTTACAAAGCAACGACTGAGTTAGAAGTCTCCGAAGATGCACCCCTCATCGCTTCCATTAGAGGGGATGCATCGGCGCATAGTCACCGTGAGTTGGTCTTTTTCTAAATCGATTTAAGGCAAACAGTTAAAAAAAAAAGAACATTAACACAAGGCTCAATTATAAAGAAACTATAACAAGTAAAGATTTCTTCTTTTACTCCAAGTTTATTAACCCTTTGCACTCGAGGCCTTTTTCGCCTGGACGAATCAGCAACTCGAGACGATTTTTCGTATACTTAGTAAATTTCATCCAGCAAACTTAAAATGATTTCACGTACAAATTAACGTATAAAACTATTATATTTTTATATTTTATGTATCCTTACATGTGGAAGAAGAAAATTTGTTAAATATTAAGGACTGTATTGTTGATTTGTATGGTATTTTAGAAAACAATCGCCAAAATGCATCCTTCGGTTGTCGGGGCAATTATTGCAGTAATATGTTGTTTGGTGTCTTTCGCCAGGCTTATTTCGTTCAGAGCAAATCCTTCTTAAGTCCTGTTAGAATGACATGTAGCTTTCCATTCGATCGAATTTCGCCGAAACTAGAGGTCGAAGTAGAAGCTCGACCACGAGTCTGGAGGAAATCTTCTCTCAATTGGTCAACCAAAGTTCTTTCCATCCTGTAGATGACTGAGCGGCTGTTTGTTTTTCTGCTGTTTTATTCTATTGTAAAGAATATAAGAATTAACTGAACAAATCTCTAACCCCCCCCAAAAAAAATAGCTTAAGCCACCATTTCAGTATGTCGAGACATTGGTTCGCTCGATTAACGACGCCTATATATTTTAAATAGTTTACGATAACATTGGTTTTTTTTGACAGTAACTTCAACCCCACCTCATAAAATCCTTTTTTACGGGAGTTATTCTCGCATTATTCCAAATGGTCAAAGACGTGACGATCCTTTTGTCTTTCCATGCTAGAACTAAAGTATTACCTTTGCGGGATGTTCCTATGGATTTCTTGTGAAATTTGTTTCTTCTTTTTATTAGCATCGCGACTCCTTCCTATTTGTTAGGATAGTCCCAGTTAAATGGCAAGGGATATCGTTCTACCCTTCGTCAAATTACACAAACATGTACATACCTTGTTGCAGGTAGGGTTTCCGCGTCAAACCAAATGGTGACTCTTGATCACCTCTCGAGTGCAAAGGGTTAATGGTATAACGAGTAGAGAAATAGTACACTCTTATCGCAGGACTCGGGGTAGAAAAGCGACTGGGAAATGGATTCCAAAGGGAATTTTCTTTTATTTCGCAGAGGCCAGCGGATGTGGCCGGGTTGGGCTTCCTGAGAGTTTTGGGGCGACACTAATGGTATTTTTGGTGAGCCTCGTTTTGTCCAGACTGCGGTAGCTCGACAACTTCCAGGATTTCGGTACAACCGTCTGATCCAATAACGTCGTCCATATAAACCTAGTAGACTAGGGCTTCCAGTTATGTATGTCACTATGTATGGAGTAGATAGTCGAATCATTTTTATGGGAGTGATGAGTAATATTGCATAAACATATACAGTTACTTTTGAACATGTTACCTTTTGATGTAAATTGTTAATAAAATGCGTTAACCTATGCATTCGAGTGATCATAACATGAGCGACGTACGACCGTATGCTGAAAAATAATAAATAAAACCGTCTTCCGTTTTGTCAAGTAAGGTTAAGAAGGTAAGGTTAAAGACACGACGCATGTCCGAATTAAAATATACTTATTTAACGATCCAACCTATATTTATACTTTGGATAGCGATCTAATGGACATCTGGGATAGAATGGGCGTTCATGTGTTACGACGTGTACTGTTATTAATGACAATATTTAAATAGCAGGTATGGAAATATCCATTTATCGCGATGGTTTGTCGATAGGCCGAGTTCAGATGTTCAATGAAAGTAATGGACGCTTCTTTTACAATGGTATACAATAAAGTTTTACGTTTAGTACTTAAATGTAAGGTAAGTGTTCGTTTTTCTCGTGAACAGAAATATGATATTCAAATTGTTATTTTAATATTTATGAGAACTATCGGAAAACTATATAGTATAGTATATTATACGCGAAGTTTTAGTGTGCTCCCCTGTTACCACTTACAACACCTTGTACATTGTTATTGCTTACAATGACACATACATCAAGCGATTTTTAAAAATGTATGCCAACATTTCAAAACTTCCGGCAGTCTTCAAAGAACATTCCTCGGTTACAATAGAAACTCGTGTTTCTCAACGCAAATATTATACCGCTGGCTCAAAATCTTTAATATTTGTACACTATTGTAACACCATGACTTTTATGTCGTTACTTATGTTATCACCTCACGATTTAAATACATTTTACACGCAGCATTTACGTATCCATAATCATCGCTTACCCTTCATTAATCCATGTTTTTTCTGACAAATAATTCAGGAGATGTGAAAGTGGCTTCAAAGAGATCTCGAGTAATGGATATACCATTATTCTGTGCCTCAAAGGAAGCAGTGAATGAATCAAGGTTTCCACCCCTGTTGAAAAATCTATTTGAAAAATATCTTCCTGCAACTAAATACATTCTGCTCTATGAAGGGTATTCAAGATACTGCAGTTTACTATTGTGGAATACGTTGTGCTCATCCATCATAAGATTCTAAAAAAAACTTTACAGGCTTGGCTTCTACACTGCTACAGCAGAAACAATTTGATTGTGTTATTTTTCATGGCATAAACACTAAATTTAATAAGCCGTGAGTATTTAACTCTATGCATAGGCAGGAATTTAATATTACGCAGTCGATTGTCCCTGAGTATTCGGGAATCGTATCTATGTTCACCACATACACACGAGAAAGACGTAATGCCAAATATAATAAATTCGATCACAAACACTTAAAGACTATGATAAATATTAACGCTCGGAGACCGTTTTCGAAGCTTTGAGTTTAAACCCTTCATTTTTAGTTTCGGACAATCTCGATAATACTTCTTATAAAACAAAAGGTAAGAGGCTAGATTTGATATTGATTCTTTGTGAGATTTATTTGTTACAGAAGGAGCATACAATGGGACTGGGTCATAAGCAAAATGGCCGAAATCTAAACAGAAACAAACTGACACGCAGCGTAAGTAAGTGTAGCAGAATGTTCTACGAAAGATTGAATTAAATAAGTTGCGGACCATGAATAATTAATGCACATGTGTATCTCATATATTTTACGTCTGCACAAAATGAAAGAATGGAAAATATATCAGTATTGTCATTAAGCAAAGAACTGCAGACGGTGAGTAAATGTTGAATAAATATTGAACTGATACATTGTACTCTTAACCTCGTCGGTGCTGTAATCGTTCCCTACATTGTATTATATTGCACATTCAAAAGGAATGCTGTCCCGCAAAATGAGGTAATGCAAGTTTTATGATTTCAACCAATGGAATTAGTATTAATTAACGGGATTTTTCATATTACAAGTACTGTTCCAACTTTAATGTAGAGGGTCTGCCAGCCGATTCACTAATAAGTCGATAAACTTTTTCAAGTTGGTATTTCAACGTATAATTTTCACGTTCCGGATGGCGGTTACGGGAAAAAATGCATTAAAAATATCAAATGCGTTGCAGAATGCACTTTTATTACGTTTCCTATAATTAATTTTATTTACAGACTTCCGACTTCTTATAAACATTCACTACAGCTTTCTCTCCGATTCAAACTTGCCGCTGCTGCGGTACTTAGTATCCGACCCCACCACCTGGCGGCACCATATTTGCGTGGAAGCCATACATGATTGCCAGGGTACAATGAACACCGAAATATATAGTAAACTGGAACGCTTACCACACTTTAGAATACACAGCGAGCTTTGTCCCTGAGAAAGAGAGATTTGGCTGTCTCTGCATCCTTGTCACACAGAGTTCAGTAAGCATTGGTGCGACGAAGATACGCGGTGGGTAGCTCTCCGTCATTGTCTCACCCTAAGAGAAAATATACCTGCCCTTGTTTAAGCGATGCGTGCGCATCATTTATACAGTCCGAAGGGAAAGTTGTACCGTCGTACGGTGTAAACGTACGACTTAAGGTACTTAATGTAAATCTTAAGGTTGATTCATACTATTTTTAGTACGCGTACCTGTGTGGCGCAAGTCTTCAAACATTAGGATACAGGACCGCGTGTGCGCTCCAAAATGATTACAGTTCAGTAGTCCATATACACTAAGGCCATGAGTATAATTCAATGTATGATGGCCATGAGTATGTTCAATGTATAAAATACAAAATAAATTCCTTAATGCTTGTTTGTCACAGTTTTGAGGAACATGACTTAAAGTCATCAATGAAGTTTACCACTAGACTACATGTCACAACAATCACCTATTTTTTCATTTTACCGGTTACCAGGGTCACCGCAATCAACCAAATTCGTAGTTTTCTGTGCTGCTTAGACAGCTAACATTTCTTTTTAAATTTTCCAGTATCTTTCAAAGTCGTTTCTTCATAAACGGCTTTTTTACTTTACGTAAAATTATCAGTTTAAGAAAACTATTCATCCTGGCTGGAGAAAAATACGAATTTAGCACAATGGTACGTTACATATTTACATACAATGGCGTGCGCCCTAACTTCGTCACTGTCCTATTAGAAGCTTCTATTATGTACATCTGTAATTTAATTTTCATTATAATAATATTTATGTGCTAGTAAATCAACTCTCTTTTCTACCACGTGACTAGTATTCTTGGCCAGTCATATTATTGTTTATTTCAATATATTCCTTTCCGTCAAATTCCAAACATCTTTTATAACGTTCTAGTTAAAATGTCAATTTATTTAAACAAATTAGCCTCATTTTTCTAGTTTATATTTTATATTATTACGCGTTCCTTTGTACGCAAAATAATATCTTTGGATTTCATACTAATTATCAAATACTGAAATCTACTATTGTTGAGCTAAATGCCGTGTTCTGTTTTTTTTAAATAAATGTACAAAATAGCATAGTTTATTATTTTTATACCGTTTTTCTTTTTATAGCGCGAGTGTATATCAATGCATGTCGGCCAAGCCGGGGTGCAAATGGGAAATAGTTGTTGGGAATTATATTGTCTCGAGCACGGAATTCAACCGGATGGAACGATGCCTTCTGACAAGATATCCGGTATACCTAACGATTGTTTCAACACATTTTTCAACGAAACCAGTTCGGGAAAGATGGTACCGAGGGCCGTCATGGTTGACCTTGAACCAACCGTTGTAGGTCAGCATTACAGTTTCGCAAATTTATTAATTACAAGATAAAACAATTGGCTAGAGATTAAGGGCAGATCAAACACGTTTTATTTGTAACTAGTTAATTGAATAATTAGAAGATATAGACTATTGTCGAAGCAACGCTTTTGGTCTCTCTCATATGCATATGTATATAAGTGAATTTAATAATGTGAATTTAACGTGACCGCAGATATTGAATTGTTAAATAATTCCATGTGGTTTTTTATACACAGATGATGCTCGAAAAAATACAAGGAATTATTGTTCTAATATTAATTTTGGCGATAATATTACTTTTTTGGTTAAATTTGTTCCTTATATTGACAGCTCGTCTATGTTTCTCAACCATTGTAGTTTGCATTATCAGGAATTGAAGGCACCGATATCAGGGTGATTTTATTCTTGAAAAGTCTCTTTTTGGAGCACCGGAGAATAAATCCCATTGGTTATTTAGCACCGCGACGAACGATCACTCCTTTGATATTCTTGTGTACCAAGTTTCCTAATTCTGCAGATGTGCACAATTATATCTTGTCATACACGATTGAGTAGATTTGTATTGCCGGAATAGGTATAGCACTATATCCGATTGCGTATTGTTTCCTAGTAGCCATACAAGAATATATCAGGTCACGCAGGCTCTACATGGTTACAAGTGGCACTATATTTTATTATATATCAAAAATATGTATTTCATCCTTAATTGGACATTAATAGATCTCGATTACATGCACTTCAAGATAATCATATACGGCAGAGTATATGGCTGTACAGAATTACACGTGATTATGTATAATTATTCTTTTCCGAGAATGCCGTAACGATTAGTTTTGCGTTTTTGTCGTTCCGATGAAAAATATGAAAAACACGCCTTATAATAACGATACACATTGACGATAACGTCGAAAAGAGTGAATTGAAACCTGATCGTTTAAATGTTAGATGAAGTGCGTGTTGGACGATACAGGCAACTGTACCACCCTGAACAACTGATCACTGGAAAAGAAGATGCTGCAAACAATTATGCACGAGGGCATTATTCCATCGGTAGGGAAGTCATCGAATCCGTAATGGATCGTGTCCGAAGACTTACCGATCAATGTACGGGTCTGCAAGGATTTTTTGTATTCCATTCTTTCGGTGGAGGCACAGGATCCGGATTTACTTCACTGCTCATGCAAAAGTTATCCGACGATTACGGGAAGAAAAGTAAACTTGAATTCGCCGTATACCCAGCGCCCCAAGTGAGTGTGATACGATTAACATAACTTACTAAGATCTCCATACGATTTTTACATAGACTAAGTAATCCACTACTGAACCTGAACTTCGAACAGACTTAGAAGGAACATGGAAGTGAGTTTTGAACCCTCCTTAACGGACATTTAACTGTTGTAATACTTGACTATTCACATCTACCCTACGAAACACCTTACACTCTTGGTTAAGTTTATACTACCGGAGGAATAATGGTACATCGTGTACCAAGAAGGCAAAATGGGACTTTTTACGCCCAGTATGGTTTTTGTAATACAAGTCATAGGCGCCCAAGCAGAAGATGAGTATTGCAAGCATCCTGGGCGTAAAAGATCTTGTCTCGGTGGTACCCACGATATTGTATGTGGCAAAGCATGGTTTTCGCGACTTTGTTATGCATTTAGGTACCGAAGGCAGGCGTAAAAGCACGTGTAAACCATACATGCGTTACATAACAATTCATTACGTAACAAGGGCGAAAATTAGGCGATTACGAAGTTAAATTTCCCGTATGTATGAAGCGAGAGCTGCAACACACGATTCGTAATCACCTACTGCACTCCCGAAATACGTGTACTATTTTTACTCATATATGAACCAAATTGGGTTTCACGGAACCTGAAGGGAGTTCACCATTTTAGAAACTATGTCAATGGTCCGCAAAGTGTAACGTGCATATTATGGCAAAGCACTTTATACCGTTAAACAAAGAAAAATGTTATTCTCTGTTTTTCAAGAATCTGTTCAATTTTATGTGATGCAAGGAATACAAATATTTGTTTAACCCTTCCCCCCCACCGAAAGTCCGATTTTCAGTGCCTGTGGAGCGTGGTGAAAGTTTCTGCGGTCAGACTTGTTCCTTACATTTGTTGTGGCTTTTGGGAGTGACCCGCGTTCATTGTCGCCAAAGGGCCGACGTTTCGCAAACGTTGTAATTCGCTTTATCAAGGTAGACCCTGATAAAATGCGGTGAAAGTTACCTATTACGTGCTACGTCACACTTTGTCTTCCAGGGGAGGAAAGTAGTCACTTTCTACCTGTATAAAAATGGAGTTCGGAAGGAGAAGTATCGTTGGACAGCTGGTGGTATATCATTCTCTTGGGATCAATGGGGTGGTGGGTAGGGCGTTTTTACTAACAAATGCCTTGTAGAACTAAATGGTTTATAATAAATTTGTAAAGAATTTCGAAAAAAACGTCCGTTTTTCGGTTTCACCGCGATATCGTCCCTCGAACTCAGTTCAGCTTCTCTAAAACACAATTTGGTTCATATTGAAGTACGTTGAAAGAAGGCGAATATGTATCGAACACTTTTCTAGGTATCAACAGCTGTGGTAGAGCCCTACAACGCGATCTTAACGACACACACGACGATTGGTCATTCCGATTGTGCATTTATGGTGGATAACGAGGCTATATACGACATCTGTCGACGTAAATTAGGAATCGAAAGACCTTCATATGCCAACCTGAACAGATTGATTAGCCAGGTGGTTTCATCCATTACCGCGTCCCTGAGGTTCGATGGAGCTTTGAATGTCGACTTGACGGAGTTCCAGACGAATTTGGTGCCCTATCCAAGAATACATTTTCCTCTCGCCACATATGCTCCCGTTGTTTCGGCGGACAAGGCCTTCCACGAGGGCATGTCCGTTGCGGAAATCACAGCCGAATGCTTCGAAGCTGCAAATCAAATGGTGAAGTGTGATCCACGGGAAGGAAAATACATGGCCTGTTGCCTGCTTTATCGGGGTGACGTCGTTCCTAAGGACGTTAACGCGGCCATAGCTACGATGAAGGGCAAAAGTTGCATACGATTCGTTGACTGGTGTCCAACCGGATTCAAAGTGGGCATAAACTATCAGCCACCAACTGTTGTACCTGGGGGGGATCTAGCGAAGGTAATCAACTGCAGTAATTCAGATGTAAACTTTACATATTTTTAGGAGCGTAAAAGATTTTTCTAGATTTTTCGTTTTGGCCTCCACCAATCAAAGCGCGAGTAACCTTCATTTTAAATTCAAACTTAAAATGATAAAAAATGATTTTAAAGTCGAAAAAATAACGATAAATTAAGATACTGATATCACGTGTTAAACTGTTCATATCACTCTCATGTGTTAATGAAGGAGATCAATCTCCGAAAAGTTCCTTTATTTACTCGGGGAACTTTCTACGCATAGTTTGATCAAAGAGAATATAAATACCTCATTAACATTAATTATTTTCATGCACAAGTTATCGGGAATGCCCGGTAAAAATTGAGGAAATCTGTTTTTCAATTTTAATTATTTCGTAGATAAATAATTGCAACTCTACCGTAGGTACAACGAGCCGTGTCAATGTTGTCGAACACAACCGCCATCGAGGAGGCCTGGGCTAAACTAAATCACAAGTTTGATCTAATGTACAATAAAAGAGCATTTGTACATTGGTACATCGGTGAGGGTATGGAGGAAGGAGAATTTGCGGAAGCTCGTGAAGACTTAGCTGCTTTGGAACGAGACTACGAAGAAGTTGCGTTGGAATCACCTTCCACTCCCGATGCATCCATAGAATACTGATGATTAGTCAAATATACTCCGCCTTACTTACAATGGTCACCATCAAAGATTATATAAAAATGCTACATTTCGGATCTTTTAACGCTCCTAATAAAATTTTCTAACATTTAGGATATTATTGTATATGGTACGCTCAATTAAATTGAACATAGGATAGAAAAATGCACAAAACTTGAGTATACCACGGTTCACCACTATGACGTGGCAGAATTCAGCCGTCGGAATTAAGGTGATGTGAAAGTGCCGGAAGAGGACTCGTTTATGAAATTTTTCTGAGAACTAAGTGTACCGTATCGTTTCAAACTTGACAATGTGAACATGGAAGCTATAAAGGTTTTGACACCCATAAAATTTGAATTTTTTAAAAATTTGTTTACAGATGTTTTCAAAATTTGTAGTAAAAAATGAAATTTCATGAGTTCCAAGATATACCTCGGTGCCTCCACATCCACGTTGTATAGTTTGAAACGTCTCGGTACTCCCAGTTTGAAGGAAAGTTTCACGAAGGATTGACCTTTCGGATGCCACTTTCACATCCCCTTAAGGACGGGACTGCGGCAGTAATTGTAAATCTCCACAAAAACTCTTCCGTATAAAATACTTCGCCGAGTACAGGAATGCTGTAAACCTCCTGTTACGTAGGCACCCTTTGAACCTCCGGATGTAGGGAAAATGTCGTAGTCCGATTACCGGACGTTAGCCATGGAAGTCCAAATACAGACACGCGATTAGGAAACGCTTGCGAAAGAGTCGCGATTCAGGCTACCTGGTACGGCAAGTTCATCGAACAAGATGACTCCCCTGATGACTCTACGGCACATCGGAACGCCCCGGCAACACCGCCCTCACCTGGGGCCTTTTGCCATCAGCTATCGTCGTCGAGGTTAGGCAACGATCTCGAGTTTGGAGCTCCCTAAAAAAAAGTAGGTACGTACAAATGCCGAAAAGACCATTTCAGGATGTCGAGAATCACTGTTCACTGTGCCTAGCTTGAGCGGTGTGACTGCGCATGGGCGTTACCGTTTCGTTCGGCCGCCGCTTCGGAACTGCGTCGCTTCGGTCGTTTTCCCGCTACTCGCGTGTTTCCTCCCGCTTCGTATGCGCTCTGCTTTCTGCTCTCGTAAAATATATCCTTTTTCTACAAGATACTCTGCGTAGCGAATAAAATACAACCCCAAACAGGATTCGCCGTCAACAACCCATTAGGAGGTGAAATGAGGTAAAATGTGTTTTTACAAATTTCTACTTGCACGTGTCGCGAGCAAAGCCGCGACGGGGCATGCTAGTAATTAAATATTTCTTATATTTACTACATGAAATACATAACTTGCATTAATATTTAACCGCTACAGAAATCTTATACGTTATTATATGTTCAATAGTTTCAATCTTCCACTTGCTCTAATGCATAATGTAGCAGTAAGATTTAGGACACAGGTGGTATGATTTGGGAAACCCGTTTTTTAAGTCGTACGAGTTGTAGACTCTTCGAAACGTTGCGTTATTTATTTTCCACAGGTGAATGTCGGAACTTAACTCACAAAAGTATATCGGGAAATGTACTTAGGTATTGATAAAAATGTATAAAACATTTGTTTAATAATTTAGAGCAGATAAAAGTAAAAAATGTAAAAATTGTACGGTATAGACAACTCCCCTCTATCGCATCCACATCGAATATGAATCCGATCACAAAGAATCAGTTGGATTTCACTTATCACTCATCTCTGTCAGTATCTCGGTAGTTTTATTAATTCCAGATATGTTTCACCATTCACAAAAAATATATTCTAAAGATTAGTATATTGTGCGGTCTAATACTAGTTGACAAATTATCGATACCGTTTGGCAACCGTTTGGTTCTCTCGCCGTGTAAGCAGTTCATCTCAAAATTATTAATTTCCATTTCTTAATTTTCATATATAGTTTTTTCTAATTATCAAAAATGCTATCACCACAGAAATTCTTTCTATCAAATCCTTTTATCAAACCGGAGCAACTTTTCCTGATTTTGTCACATTACTTCGGACCAATCCATGAATAGCACACGATGACAAAAAAGTGTTCAAAGATTCGTCCTGCGTATCAAACTTGTTTTAAATGTGCAAAGTCGCTTTACTATTATATGACGGAATTTGTTTCACAGGTGGAATTGCTTGCATGTAGACAAAAGTCATAACTTCTTTGCTATTTTTGGAGGCTTAACTATTCGCAAATACGGAACCAACATTTAGTAAATGTAGTTTGTTAAATGTTTGCCTGGAAAATGGGACGTTTCCTTATCTATCTATCTATATATAAAAGAGATTATCGTCCAACCCAAACCGCTAAACATAGCAATGTGAAATTTAGGGGTTATGTTCCTTTCGTAACATAGGAGCTCATTGAGACAGGATATTTTGAAATTCAACCCCTAAGAGGATGTAAAGAGGTAGAATATGTTTTTATAATTTTCTTAATAACGTTGAAGCTCGATGACACATCGGCTTCATTTTTATTTCAAAAGAGTACACATTCAAATGCCCGAAAACCAATTTCAGGATTTTGCTGTATCTAACCCCTAAGGGGGTGAAAAGGGGCAAAATATGTTTTTACGAATTTCTTAATATCTCTCAAGCCCGTTGAGATATCGACTTGGTTTTTATTTAAATAGCGTAAATATACAAATGCTTAAAAACCAATTTCAGGATTTTGCTGTAACCAACCCCTAAGCGGGTAAACAGATAAACAAGAAAGATTATAAATTTCAAATTCTACTTGTACATATCACGAGTGAAGTCGCGTCGGGGATGATAATTTTAAATAAGATAAAGGAAGACCATGTTCCATTTCCACAAACTAAAGTGAGACCGTTTATAATTCCAAACGAGAATTTCTATAAATATTAATACAGTTAAGATGTAGTTCATTACGCAATTTAGAAGCATAAAATTTAAATTAAAATAGTTCCGTACGCGTATTGTCAAGTCAGTAAAACTCGTGTATGATATGTAACAAAAGCACCACATATTATTCTTCAGGTAAGCCATTAATCGCAATCCTTAACTATTATTTGGCAAATATATATCCACTTCTGCGAATACCTGTAGTTAGAGTGTCTTACTTATTTTATCTTACTTATATAAAAAAATAAATGTAAAAAATTGAGGGTTCGATCTTTTGCACACTACTTTTGGTATAAATTCTACGTCAGAAATAAATTACGGTACAACAAAATAAAAAATAACAAAACTCTTTATATATTTTATTCGAAGAATTGCATAATTAGCACAACCGTTGAACAAATTTCATCTTTCCATGTGATCGTTTCTCATATATATTGAGATGTAATATATCTATAAAAAAATTTTTTTTCTCTCATGACTTTAATGGCACCGCGTGAATAAAAAATGTAGATGTATTAGTTTCTCAACAAATTAAAAATACGTTTATGGCGACACGATACGTTTTATTAAATAATTGTTTCGTACGAGGTGTAGCTTCTTGTAATAATACTTTTTCTAAATATTAAGGTGAATGAAAGGCGCTGAGAATTTTAATTGACGTCGATAAAATAATATCCATCTATACCCTTTTTGGCGATAACGCCACGTTGGATTCTCAAGTAAGAACATAAGCTGACGAGTCACGTTACCGATATTTAATATTTATGTTGAAGTCTATTACGCTCTACGTTGAGAATTATGCGATATGAAGCGTTCCATATGTCATTTCGGTAAAATAATCATAAAGGGGTCCAAGTAAACTGTCAAAATCCCGTAAATTCATGATTTTTGATACTCTAAGGGACCAAAGGCGCCATCTATGATGTTTAGGTGCAACTAAATTTTTGCTCTAAAAATATGCGTTAGCCACGAGGCAAGCCAGCATCTCTTGCAATCGATTGTGAAAGTATTTTCCATATTTTCCTCTCTGACTCTGTGATATTCCATTGTTATAGTATCCTAAATTCTTCGAGTATAATCCTGATACTCTTCATTTTCGATTCCAAGCATTCAAAAGGCGTGAAACATCAAAAAACATGCACGGACGACGCCATGTTGGTTTCAGTCCATGATAAATAAAAACATTTTTAATGAAAAATGATATTTCCTGAGGTTCAGGACCTACTTTAGGGCTTCCATATTTAGGTAATAAAATTTAAAACGAATCGGTACACCCAATTCCGAAAATACTTTAACGAACGATTTGACCTCTCATATGTATATATAGGCTCACCCTTTCATATCACCTTAAGACTTTTGAGCTAATGCTATTAATGAGATTGCAAACATTCTGTTAAGCTATCTGAGACGTGGGATTGTGATTTTATTCAAGTCCTGAATTCCCACATGTGAAACAAATCCCATCCAAGATTATAAGGGAAATCGCCCATAATAGAATTTGCGGAACTTGGTCCGTACAGCGAAGTTTCTTTTTCATTTTCCAATTTTTAGCGCGCAATGATATAATAGGATGATTCTCTTTCCAAAATGGAGGCTATTATAATATAGCAGTTCTCAGCGAGACCCTGTTTACTATACGAATACTGACAATTCAATTGTTTTGAAACAAATAAGTGAAATCACAGTAGAAGTATGGACCAAGTTTTGAAGGACATCTTTACTTAATTTATACCTGAATTGCTGTATCTTATCGAGCACAAATCCTTGGTATTTAATCAACGCGTCATTAATTTTACACATTCCAAATCTATCTTGGATTTCTCGAATATGTAAACACCAGAATCTGTATAGATTTGGAATGTATAAAACCGTCCTGGAACTTAGAGAACGATGTATAGCTTCTGATGATATGCTGACGAATTTCTAGTTAGAAGTTAACACTGACATACAGGGTGACAAAAAATAAGTGTATACAAAGTTGTTTCTATCCTGACACGAAAGTATTATTTTATTTGTACTCGTCCTTATTGTATCGTAACATATTGTACATGTTTTCGTTTTTCCCCTGATGGTCTTATATTTGACAACCGTTAAGAGACTACAACAACAATACTTTGATCGAGCTTACAAATTGAATACGACTCGAGAGTAGTGCAGAACCGATTTCCCGGATTTGATCACATTGTCAAAATGGCTAACGTGAATGCCAAAAATTTGGAATTGCTAAAACAATCATTGCGTCGGGAGGGGGATCGAATATCGGCGCAGGAAATGCGGCGAGTAGCCGAAAATGTTACGTGCATTTAAGATAGTATGAAAGACGCTGAGAAATTTAATCGTCGTCGATAAAGTAAAATACCCTTTTCAGTGGCAATGACATTTTGAATACTCAAGTGGTAACATAATCTGGCGCGGCCCGTTACCGACATTTATATTTATGTTGAAGTCATTTATAGTCTAGCTTGAGATTTATACGAACTGAAGAGTTCCATGTGTCATTTCGGTAAAGTAATGACGAAGAGATCGATGTAAAACTGTCGAAATCCCGCTAATTCATTATTCTAAGGACTGTTTAGGACCAACGTCGCCATCTGTGACGTTTTGCTGCAACTAAATGTATGCTCTAAAAACACGCGTTCGAGCCACGAGACAAACCATCCTCTTGTAATCGTTCGTCAAAGTATTTTCTATATTTTCCCATCTTACTCTGCAATATTTCATCTCTACGGTACCCCAAATTGTTCGAACTAGATCTTGAAACTCTTAATTTTCGATTCTAAGCGTCCAAGAAGCGTAAAACATCGGAAACATGCCTGGCCACGCCATATTGGTTCGAGTCCGTAATAAATAAATTTGTTATGAAAAATGAAATTTCATGAGTTTTAGGACCTACTTTAGGGCCTATATATTGATTTGGTAAAATTTGAAACGAATCGGAACATCCAATTCGGAGAATACTCTCACTTACGATTTGACCTCTCGGACTTCTGTAGGCTGACTCTTTCATATCACCTTAACGTCACCTGTATCAGTGCTAATAAGGATCACATCGAATCCGGTTGAATACGTCATTTCTAAAAATCTATTTTATCATTATTAATTGTTGATAATTATTTTATTGAATGAAACGTTGCGTACACTTCTGTTTTGTCATCCTGTGTTGTGATCGACCGAGAATTTCCAATTTGTTTAAATCAGTTGCATGTAATGGTTTTGCTCGTGAATCCCGAGATTTTGGAGAGTTGATATCTCAACGCCAAAATTCAATCTTTAAGCATATCGACGTGGTAATTTAATGACGGTGAAATATTGTACGAAATCTTATTGCAGTTCCATCCGTTGGCCATAAATGATGATAACACTTAACAGAAAATTGTTATTTTAATTACATTCTGTTATACGATTTTTAATTTACAAAATCCTTAGCATCTCTTACAAGTTAAATAAAAATAATTCGGATACAATAAAGTCACATTTACATACATACAACGTAATAGTTATAACATCATCCGATTGGTGAAATTTCGCTGATTTTCCTTAAACTTCGCAGACTTTTATATAACTTTGTTACGCGTATTTAATGCTTATCAAAGAAATTCAGAGGAACAAAACTTTGCTCTACAGGAAAGTCTATTACATTTCGTTACAGTTTTCTGAAAATATTCTAAATTCGCTAAGTCTGACTTAATTTCTGAGGAAAATTCTGAAATATCTCTCGTTATCTACGTCCTTCCCATACACGCCCCACCCTGTATACATTTAAACAATTCATTTATTTGATATTCAAAAACCATATAACCCGCACGATGTTCGAAATTCCACAAAGCATTTTCTGAATTTTTATAACTATCTTTATAGTGGGATTTCCTTGGATTATGCATAGTGATCACGAGCCCAGTATCTAAAGGATTTCTAAGTTACATATCTATCATGTATTTTGTTTAGTCGTCATGGGAAAGTCTCTAATGGAAATCCTTTAAGCTGAATGAATGATATGCTTAGAAGAGGCAACATAACTAATAGTTAATTCTGCTGAAAAATTGACTAATACAATTTCAGTATAAAATTGAAGATCAAAGAATGCTACTATGTAAGTGAAAAATTCACATGTAATTTGTAATTCCATTTCACGTTTCAAGTGTAAGAGACATCACATACAAAGTGAGAAATAGGAACAATGGGGGTAGCAATGAATAGTGCATTTATCTATATCGTAATACTGACATTAATTCTGGCGACCTAGAAATGTAGAGGAGTATTACACATTGAAATATAATAATGTTGGAACTCTCGCCAAGGTAATTGGCCGTGAAGTGATTCACCCTTTTGAATGGTCTATTACACATTTTTGTTTCCAGAAAAATTTTTTATCGTTTCGCGAACCCCGTTTTTAAGTTATGTATTTGTAAATTCTCAAATTTCTGCCTTAGCTATTGTTATTTGCAATTTTAAGTGATCCTCGCGCGAATCGTCACAAGATACTCACATTACACTTTCACAAGTGGAAATTATTGAAGTATTTTGATTGTGCAGATATTCTGCACTTGGTAGTCATGATTAATTATTTTATTCCCTTTATGACAATGACTAAAAATGTTTCTATCATTCAATAACCGAGCACCCGGATACCCATCGCAGAAGTTTCGTATGTCAAAGGCAGAAGATCTTTTTATTATGCATAATGTATCTAATGAAAGTGAAAATTCAACTTGGACTATATCCCTTTACTTTTAGACCTCGTAAATTTGAGATCTAACGTTGTATCCAGAATGAGTACTTTTTCGCGTACGACCGTTCATTCGTGTACTTTCTTCTAGTTCTTTTAAATTTTTGCTTAAATTAATTATTAAATTTACGCCCAAAATCGCTATCAAGCTGTGCATGGTAATCGTGGTGACATTGTCTCCAACAAACTTTCGTTCAGAAAAGACGTCGCCATAGAATATGCAGCATTGTAACCCATTGCAACGCATACTATTTTCTGAAAAAAGGGAAACCAACGTTTTTCTTTCACTCGGGACACAACTATTCCCAAATTTATAGATATCGTAACCCGTGCATCAATTTCTTAAGTTTACGTGTTTACTATCCCGGAGTAAATGAAAGTTTTCGGGTATTCATCCAATAGAAGGAATGCCATTTCGTTAGTCCACTTGACTTTTTTAGTTTCTGCGCCTGACGTCTCAATACTGTACAGTGACGGCTATGAATGCCTTCTCTTCCTGCACTTCCGGTACCAGACCCATAAGGGAGGCATTCATGTCCACCGGTGTACATGCGTCGGAACTGAGCATTTAGCTGCATAAAATCCTTCGAGGAACCAATTTGTCGCAGAACATTTATTAACAAACGTTATACTTCTGCATTCTCAATAAAATCATGACATGGTATCCTAACACCCGGTTACCGAACAACCGTATAGACGACTTTTGTGATCAATATTTTGGAAATGCGGTAATTAAGATAAATATTTCCTTGTATATAAAAACACCGAAAGAAAAGTACAAGAAAAAACTTAGGGCGACCTTTCTGAATGTCTGATCGGGAAATATGAAACATCGACATGAAAAGAAGCAGAAGGGTACTCGAGTTATTGACGTAAGGAATATTTTATCACTTGTCTGTTTTTACATACAACCAAGAACATACAACACTTTTTCTCACACTTCAAGGCTATTTCGTAAAAATATAGGAACAATATATTTTTATCTCGTGCTACTTTAGGTTATATCAAACACTTTAAGAGAACATGGGCATTTTTACGGTAGTCCAAACATGTAAAGAATTTAATTGCGAAGTAATGTATAAATTGTACATTTTTTAAAGAAATTGAATATATACCAGAAATATTTCAGAAAAAGTTTTAACACTTAAATAAAATCCTTGGATATTTTGATAGCTATACTTGCACTCGTCTTTTAGATAATATCACAGGATCCTTGGAAATCAAATCGAAATTGGCGAGACACAATTAATAAACCTTATGCTTGCTTTGTTGTATTTCAGAATTTTACAAAGAAATTTCAACGATATTCACCCTCTAAGGTAGCAGCTCGGGTGGTAACAAAACAATTGAACGCTATTAGCAATGAATTCAGAAGTAACTAAATAAATATTATTGATAAAAATATCTTTCGAAGAATGCGGGAAAAGAAGGATGTGGTTTTCGAGTTTGGTTTATCTTTTCTATGCATCGTAGCATCGATGACTATACCATTAAGGTGAAGTGAAACACGTCGAGAAATTTGATCGTCATTGGTAAAGAAGATTTATCTAAATACCTACGTTGCCGACGTTCGTTTTTATATCGACAGCTGTGTCAAATTGTATCGAGTATCGTATTAAATGGCATACTCCATCTGTTGTTTCCGTACAATAATTATAAAGAAATCGAAGTAAAACTCCAGAAATCCTTTGGATTCGTGGTTTCTGGGCCCTAATTGACTGCAAAAGGACACCCTGCGCTATCTGTGATTTCCGTGTCAACTAAATTTTCCCTCCGAGACCTCGTATTACGATCGTTCTAGCATAGAAGCGCGTAAGACACTTTTGTATTGAGTATCGTATTAAATGGAATACTCCATCTGTTGTTTCCGTACAATAATTATAAAGAAATCGAAGTAAAACTCCAGAAATCCCTTGGATTCGTGGTTTCTGGGCCCTAATTGACTGCAGAAAGACACCCTGCGCTATCTGTGATTTCCGTGTCAACTAAATTTTCCCTCCAAGACCTCGTATTACGATCGTTCTGGCATAGAAGCGCGTAAGACACTTTTTTTGCCTTTATCTCGTTCAAATACGAGTTTGTCGATTACCAGAGTGTTCTAAATTGTCGTACATTTGTCCTGACCCTTTCGTTTCTCATATTAGAGCCTTCAATAATTGAATATCGAACGAAATGGGCGAGCTCGACGCCATTTTGGTTCTGGTCTGGGCTAATTTAACTAATTTTTTTATTATAAAACATCCAAATTTTGAATGTGTCAGGACAATGCTTAGATGATCACGAGTCATGTGTGAAACTTTTAGACAGTTCGATCCAATACCCTTAAAAAAAGTGTCTTATTCGCGAATGATTTAAGGGGGGTTTCACTTCACCTTAACCATCTCGGTTTGTCACATTCCTCTTCGTTTTTCTCGGTCTACGAGACTACATGCTTTTTTGCATTCATACTTAATACGATATCAATGTCTCTCCAATTCACTATTTTTCACGGCAAATGCAAAGTTTTATTTTACGCCTGTAATGGAATCGAGTTAGCGTCTCAGTCCCTCTAATTGTTTGTGTTATGCACATAGCGTTTTCGGTTCTAAAGCCCCGCGAATTTTTAATCTAATGAAACAATGTAATCCGAGGATGGAGTCGATACCACGTTGAAAATAGTCTCACCTTGTTTTGATTAAATAAACTCTCAATCACGTCTGAATTCATCGCTACCGGAATAATGAAAAACGGGCACTCGTAACGAGCAATGTTGCCGTACTCTCAACATATCGAAACATGCGAGTAAAGGCATTACATGAATGGTCCGTCCCGATTTCCCTCTGTTTCTGTACCCTATATTTTGGCAACGTTGAGTGTTACGTGACAAATCATTCTTTCGAACTTCTTAGATAATCCTTGCTCTCGCTCATGGAAGGCATTAGTCAGCTAGAAGTCTCCGAAGGCGCCATCTCCTCGCTCTCGTTGACCTGGAGAGCGGATTGCGGAGAGGCCGGTTCGTCGAATTCACGAACGTTGCTCTCCAGCGGCTCGCCCTCCAACGACGTAGGAAACATAACCGCGGGAGCAAAAGCTGGCTTAACTAAATCTACGTCTTTGGCGTCCTCGTTTGGCCTTTCGGGTGACGCAGTCTGTATCACTACACGCTCCTTGCTCACCTCGCGCTCGTTTTTTGCCTCTACCTTATCTAAAATAGCGGTCCGAGGTGCGCTTATGTCCTGGTTAACGTCGCACTCAGTCAGGAGGGAATCCCCCGTATTAAGGTCCCTGGTACTCTCGCGGTTCAACAAAGTGTATGGGTTTTCCGGCGAAAGGACCAGCCGTGTCTGAAGATTACACGAGTCGGCCGGGGTACTCTGGTCGGACGGCCGAATTCCAATTCCCAGATTAGCCGCCAGAGGGCCGCGCTCCAGCGTCACCAGGCCCAGACTTGCCGGAATGCGCGCGCCATCTAGTGGCGGTAGCATCCGGTTTGGTTCCGTTCCGTGTTCCGACGAGTTGCAGTCGGGCACCGACCCATCACCGGTCAGCATCGAGGTATTGGAATCGGAACTGCAGTCCACCGACTGCTGGTACAGATCCTTGTCTTTCGTTCCGATCTTCCCGCTATGTTTCGTCTTCTGTTGCATGGATTTCGGATTCATTTGATTCTTGTGCTCTGCCGCTTCCGCATTGCTTATATTATCTTGCTTTTTCCACTTGGTGCGCCGGTTTTGAAACCAGATTTTCACCTGAAATCAGAAATGTAGAATTAATATTTTAGCAGAAATATGGTCGTTTCACGGTAATACATTGTGTAAACGAGAGAAAATAGGCATTTGTAGGACACGCGTGGAGTTTTCAGCACGAAGCGAAATAGGGGCTGAATACCATCGGTCCCGCGGTTGGCAACTAATGCGCGTTATCGAGCTCGAAAGTGAAAATGATAAAGACCTCGGTAGGAAAACCGTAGAAGCCCAATTTGTGCACGCGCAAGTATTGTTTCGCTCTCGCCGTTCTCCCCGATCAGAAATCCATTACATTTCGGACGCTGTACAAGCGTAGTGTACTAGAAACTCGTTACGCATAGTTCTAAACGTTTATTTAGTCAACGCTCAAGCCACGTCGTAAGATCACCGAAGTTAAGCGACATCGGGCGCGGTCGCCTACCCTACTTATATATTATAGATTATTATGAAACTTATTTTTACTACATTTTTTGTGCAGATTCAAAGCCTACCATCTCTTTCAGACCCCATTTGCTCTTAATGTTATAAAAACAAAAACTTCTGAAATCCCCATGGAAACACTTCCGTGTAAAATACTTCGCAGAGTACAATATTTTATTGTTACACTTGGAAGTTCTAACGGGCGCAAACGATCGTGTTTGTTATACGACTACCGACATTCGTACCACATTAAATGGTATAATAGTTTCAGAATGTGTGACGATTGTTTAACGGGCCACGCGTGCATAATGATGCACATAAGTGGTCGATAAGTAGGTGGTTGGATGTGATTGTGGTTGGTGGGTGGAAGCGGCTATCAGATCCATTACAGACAATCAGAAGCAATCCGCGCCGGCAACTCAGTAGTTCTGTTCTTATTGCACTGGCTTGTGCGCGTAATCTGTCTCATCCTTTACACATCCTATGCATTATCGTGGTTGTCTATTTTCCTGAATTACCTACCAGCTTCTTGGCTGTAAAATGCAGCACCCCGATCAACGATTAAGTCACGGTACAGCTTTTGCCCAATATCGTACATCATTGATCAAAGTTAGGCAATCAAGTTTGGCTCAGATATGGAATGATAACAGCGATTTTAGTAAGGGCGGACTTATTTGCAATAGTTGGGCCACAATTGATGCCCAAGTTCCGATCGCGGACAGTTGATATCCTCGAATCGGAATCGTTTGCAAATCTTGCCACATGATTATTCTCGGAGGCTGGATAAGACGTGCAAAGACAACAGAGTTTACTAAGGCTGACAATCATCTGCTACAGTTTTGCTATTATCAAGCCACTACTGGTCTAGTATTGCCACAATATTATTAATATAATTTACGTCTCGGCGGAGACCGGAAGGAGCAAATCGGATTCAGGGCCACGATAACGTGACATGATAAGATTGGGAAACGGAAGTAATCATCAAATAAATCTCACAAAGAATCAATGTTATAAAACCTAACCCTTTATCTTTAGCTTTACAAGAAATGTAATATTTATTTATAATTTTAAGGACGAATCCGATCCTCTTTTCATTTTCATTTTCGTCTAAGAATACGTTCGTGCCCGAGATTTCATGGTGTGCAATTAATACCTGACTTTCTGTTGATCGGTACTTTCATTCACCATTCCTAACCTTTCATGAATAGTGAAATGGATTTCGCCGCTGAACTTTCAGCCTATTACCAAGGGTTTCTCCTAACCTTGCGAGTGAACTTTATTCCATTTTGACAGCTCGGACTGCACTTGAAAAGTTCATAGTAATGCAGCACTTATACTGAAATTCACCCCGTGAGGGGCGCCGTCGAATGTCGTACAAGTCGTATGAAGGTTGGTCTATCATACGCCCAACGCTTGTTGGACTTCCTCAGGCCCTAAAGAAGGAGATGTAGGGCGTGGAGTAAGTGGCCCTGGCCGCTATGGCCATCCTAGCATTACGAAGCCTACCCAGCGACCGGTTGAAGCCGGCGCCATTGTCCATTTCGATCTTAGCTGATTTCCGATGTGTTTCCGAATAAAGATTTTCCCGTTCGCGCTAATTACCATTACCGTCCCGATTTCGTGCATTTCGCGAAAGCCACGTGCATGTACCGATCAGGCAGCGGCACTTAGGGGTCAAAAAAAGGTCCTCCCGAGGAGGGCGTCGTGCCCTGTGACCTACTCCAGCCGTGGAGTAGGGTCAGTTCTCGTATACATTCCATTACCCTGTTTTCTCCCTATCCAAGTGAGCTTTCGCTAGGGTGTTGTACCCTATGATCGGCTCCGAGCAGTGTGCCCAATTCGCGGGTCGTGTCCCTGTAATTTCGATTATTTTTTGTAATAAACTCCCGAAGGGATCGTTCACCGTATATCCGCGTTTATAATTTATTTTCCGTAGTTTCCCGTCCCGTGGACCCCGGAATCGTATCGTATCTCGCTGCCGTCCCGTGAAGGGCCGCAAGGTCTTCCCGGGGCTGCGTAGCCTGGAAGGTCCTGTCGACCGGGCCGGGTCTAAGTGCTCGGGCAGTGTTAGGTCCCTACCTAACGTTTTATTTTAAGTAATATTAAGAAAGAGACTAAGCAACGCGTCTCGCGCTCCAAAGCGCTCCTGGAGACATGCTCTCCCTCGTTCTTATCTCCCCTTTGTTTATCCGAGTACTTCCGCACCCCAAACTAGATGACAGCCCTGGGAAACGTCAAACATTCAGATTCTCTGGAAAAAGACACTTTCCACCTGTTTCCCCTTCGACCTGTCCCCAAGCCAATCACATGAGACATTTCCCTCCTCAATCTTAAAAACCCACCAATAAGCATCCTCCTCCGCGCCTAGGAACATCCTAGGTCAGTATAAAAATGCCCGCTCCGAAGGGCTCGCTCTCTGATCTACCGAAGTTTGAACTGTCTCCATTCTGTAACCTGCGTGCGAGGCACCTGTAACTCTCGGCGAGCGCTGGTTCCCTTGAGTTGACCGAGTCTACGAGTCGTTCCTGTAAAACCAAGAGGCATCGAAAATAAAGTATCTTCGTTACTTTGCTCGACGAGGTCTTTGACTGGTTTCAACCATCTGGAAGCGAGTCCCCAAAAACAAACTCACGAGGCACGGTCCGATCGACATCCTCGGGTAGTCGCTATCACTGCTCCCGAGTAAACGATTCCCGATCTAACAGCAGCCGGGCAGAGGGATTCCGCACTTAGAGCCCTTAAAGAAAGCGGAATTCCGGACAGGTCGAAGTACGGGCTTGACCTCTACCATTCGCAATCCACAGGGCGTACGACTGTTCGTCGATAAGGGAATGAGTAATTCTCGTCGCAGTACTTAATTTACTTAATCCGATCTGCCTAGCCACTCATTGTTTTGGGAGTTACGGTACAATGCGATACAACAAGATACAACGGTAAGGGGCACGACATAAGAGAGCAGGAGAGAGTTTCCTTCGACGATACTCCCGAACTGATTTGATTCGGTTATTAAAATTTCTACGTATTTGAATCAAGCCGATTTGTACTTACTTTAATGAGCTCTATGTACTTAATTTATTTAACCCTAATTTTGTATCGTTCAATGATGTATTTACCTTGTTTAATTCAAATTCTTTGGTCGTTCCTTACCGAAATCTGTCTGGTTCAATTAATTTGCATTCGTTGATCGTCATGATTGTATTTGTATTCACCTTAATTAATTAAAATTCTTAAATCGTGGATGACCGACATTTGCATTTATCTTAACTTGTTTGAACCCCTTTTCTCTGGACTGTTATTAGAATTGGTATTCATACACTGAAATTGTCCACCAATTTTCAATTATGTGAACTTATGTTCATCTTAATAAAAATTTCGTTGTTGAACGAAGTTCATGAACTACTATACTTACACATGTATTTGCACGACATACGAATATCATATAATTGTCCAAGGAAATAATTTAATGTATAAAATCTGATTTCGTGCACTGTAAATCGCTGCATATTGTAAGAAATAACGAAAACATTCTAAATGTATGTTATAGAAATATTCCAAATAGCCATTGGTTGTATTTGAATAAAGAAGATATAAAATATAACCTGTGTCTCGGTGACGTTTAGTAGTTTTGCCATATCCGCCCTTTCGGACGAGCTCAGGTACTTCTTCATTTCGAATTGCTTTTCCAGTTCGAAAATCTGCCTCCCGGTGAATGTTGTCCTAGCTTTCTTCTTCTTCCTATCCGCTTCTATGGCGTCTTCTGGTGCACTGAGTCGTAGCTCCATGTTCGCCTTTCCAGACGGGAGTGACTCTTTCGCAACGGGCTCAACCCTTTTCCGCTTCCCAGGGGACGATTTTGAGACCGACACGGCGTTATCTGAAATGTGCGACATTTCGTATAAGTAGTTTCTTCGTAATTGTTTAGAGAAACGAACACATTATGAAACACAAGTAAGCTGGAACTTTCATTTCTTTTCATTAACTTGCAGCAAAATCGTGGAATAATGAATATCTTCTGGAACTACTATAAAACTATATAATGAGAATTTATATTTTATATTCCACTTCATTGTCACAAAGATTGAAACCATTAACGTTTAACATTATTTTAAATATTAAATCATTAACGTTTTCATGGAAGATTTCAATGGAAACAAAAAATGGCGGACAACATAGGAGGAAAATCGATCAATAATAATGGGTAACATTTGATCATTGGGTGCATTCAGAAGAGACAACTGTTGAGTGATCGGTTAGTGCTCACCTGCTGAGTGGATACGTTCACTCAACATGTTTACCGATCAGACCAATCAGATCGCATTTTCACCAGAAATCGCAACATGTTCCCAACTCATCGGTAACTGCTTTTCTCCTCTGAATGCACCCATTTAATAGTATGCTACGCATCGTATCTTTCCCTTAACGTGAGTTGTCCTTGTGATTGATTCTTCACTTAATATATCTATCAATTAGATAATAATTATGTTATTATACGTAACCCTTATCACTCCAAGAATATTAGAAGAGCGTTAGAAATTGGCAGCATTACTGCCCGTTGGAGTGATAAAGGTTTAATGGTTCCAGATAAAGTGCAAACTTCACTGAAGATTTCTCTATCCTTTAAAATATTGATGGATACGTATGTATGTATTCCTGAGGAAAATCAGTTAATACATTATTGAGGTTTATACAATGTTCAACCGGTGAGTTCCAAAAACAATTTATTCAATAACAACCGTCACGTTGTAATTATGTCCGGTGCATATTTTGATACACAATTTCATTTCACATTTATGCATTTTTCATCAATACCGATTTTAAATTACCATTATAATATTTAATTATCAAAAAGTTGTGAAATCCCCACCCAAAAACACCTCCGTGTAAAAAGTATTGCTAAGTATAGGGTTGCAAAGAAATCCTTTATAAAAAACACTGTTTCTATCCTACAATGAGTTTCTGCAATAAAATAGTTTCTTTGCAGAAACTTATTGTAAGACAGAAACAGTCATTTTTGGAAGAGTTATTTTTTGTGGACGTTTCATAAAAATATTAATTTTTGAGGAGGACTTTTTTGCAGAAATTTAATGTAGGTGAGAAACAGTGATTTTTGTAAATACAATATACCGTAACATGTTAATTACATTATTTGTTACATGATTCAATGAGTTTGTTAGTTTATGTTTTATTCTATCATCTACATAAGAAAATAATCTATAAGAATAACTCAATTACGTCAAAACATTGGTCTAAAAATATAGCGCAGTAACAGTGTAGCGATTCATTATGTCAGAATGTAATGTAAATTACAGATTACAACCAAGAATATTGAATCGATTATAATATGATAATACATGCGGTAAAGCATAAGATATGATATTAACACATTTTTTCATTATAATATAATGTAACTCATTTTTACTTAATAACAAATCTTGTTACATTATAACGCACTCTATAGTACACAACAAAACAGTTTGCCAACCTTATGTTGTGTTAAATAATTACATACAATACGGTATTAAATTGTAATTTTTATTATGTGAAATTGTACAATACACATGATAAAGTAGTGGCACAAATATGTTCATTTGTAATCTAATCCGTCACCTTTATTAATGTGAAAGATGTAATAAGGATCAATTACCTTAATTCACATTTTAATACCGAATATAGCATAGGGCAAAAAGAACTCGTAGTCATGGTTGATACAGCACTATCCTTGTTGAAAAAGGAATCGAAAAGGCCTGTACTATTTTTTCCCACAGTGCATAAATTTCCTGTAATAACTAGTTGAAGCACAGCCAATCGATCACGTTCCCGAACGGAAGGCATAGCGCAGAGGGCATCGGTAAGGCTGCGTTCGGCTGCCTGTGGCGGGCAGAAATACAGAAGATGGAAGGATGAATGATCCGTTAGCATCGCCATTAAGCAGAGAGTTACAGACGATAAGTAAATATTGAATGTACATTGAACTTGTACATTGTACTCTTAACCTTATTAATGTAATCATTTCCTGAATCGTCCTGTATCGCACATTCAAAAAGAATGTAATTTAAGGATTTCATTCAATTCCTAAAGCATCGTAAAACAAAATTCAATACCTCGCCAAATAAAATGTTTTCAAATTGAGTTTCTAATATTTTCATTATTTCATTACATTTAGTTTTTAATTATTATTTGATTAGATAAAATAGAAAATGAAATAGATTTTACAGAGATAACAAATAATGCACTATACATAAAGTAAATTTGATTTCGATACTTGAAAGCATTGAGATTTGAATCTAATACTCTCTTTTGATACTATCTTTAAGCGTACCATTTGCCATATTGCTCTTCGGAGCGAACCTTTCAGATATATCCATAATTGTATTTTTTAGACTCGACGTCGTGGCCTAGGTACCTTGGATATTTTTTCCCCAAATAATTATCTCCTGGTTTAGTAAGCATCCTGTAACAAAATAAGTTTTCACAAAGTATTGGTTTATATATTGAGTTAATTTTTGCATCGATAATTAACAATACTTATCTGAGAATCTGGATCACGTTTAGTTTTTATTCATTTTCCTTGGGCTCAAGAACAAAATTGTTTCTTCTGTCTCCAATAATTACTTTACGTCACAAAATCAGGGAGGTTATAACCTCAACCCGTCACCGAACATAACCAAAGGCCACAGAGTTTTGAACAATTTCTATCATTTCATGCGTTTTAGACTTTTAAATTTACATTTCGCCCTAATACACGTTGAAAGTAAGACTCAATGTAACAGTTTCGAAACCATTTTAATACACATCGTGAGCTATCTTCTATCGTTCATACTCATGGACTACCCGTGCCATGAAAATACGGCTCGAGGAACATCTCGACTTTGAGTGCGTCGGTTCGTAAGTTAGATTTTTATCCATGGGCGATTTCACAGGTGAGGAAGATGGCGACGACCGAATATAATCAAACTGTCTATACTGAAACTTTAATTGAATAACTACATCGATTCGGACGATATCGGTTTCAAAAAAGGAGAAAAATTCAATAAAGCCACTCGCGTCGATTAAAAAGCTTCTGGAATCTTCTTACAGTAGTTCTGGCCGTTTAAAGAAAAATTAAATGCCCATTAGAGCGACATTTAGAGTAAAAGAGGGTAGCGCTCAGTTGACGCCTGTGTCAATCGACCAATGTACAGTCAACGCCACTAAACTTCTCTACCGCGTCCCTTGATATTATCAGTCATTCTAGCTATGATATTTCTATTTACTCCAAAGCATTTGGAAGCTATTCAAGATTTTTGGCGACACGTGTATTGACCGTAATACGCAGTGAAGTCGATAGTACAAATACCTAGTGAATTAATTTCAAATTAAGGAGAAAGGTATTTACCACACGTTTAGGTAAATAAAAATAAAGTTAAGTATACGAATAAAGGTAGATAAAAAGGTAAAACGGTATTTATCCGTACATCTTGCTAAGAAAATACAAAAAGAATTAATAAGTGACCCATAATATAATTATGATTAAATGAACATTACTTGGATTCACAATTGCGACCCACATCAATACTCTCGTATATCGTTTATATTTATTTCGGTATATCATTTCGTGCGGGACATTAATTGACGAACATGTATCGAGAGTCAATTTATTCTAAAACGAAGCTATTAGGGCCATCGAGCAGTGGACATCGTAACGATCAGCGCAATGACGTTTGTCGTACCATCGGGAAGATTCCGAATTTTTTTTATTGTTGGACCCATGCGACACGAACGATGGATATACATGCGTGTACGTAAGCTGGATCGATACCTAAGCAACAATTGAACAACACCACAACTTTGGCACAATATTGTTCATCATTGGCCAAAGTTAGCCAACTATGCCTGGCCCCCTTTCCGGAAATGATAACAGCGATTTTAGTAAACGCGGACCCATTTGCCATTGTTGGGCCACAGTTTTGCCATCATCGAGCCATTGACCCAGCATTGGCACAATATTGACTATAATAAATGTAAACGTTGAAAAAATATGTCCCACAAATGTTATTTACAATTGCTTTTACCGAACTTAAAGACTCATATTTGACTTCTCTATTCAAATCATCCGAAAAAATTCATGTATATTAGGAAACGAAGATTCCTTTTTTTCTTCGATCGACGGACCGATCTCTTGGCTTTGTAGTTGGATACATCATCTCTCGGTTATCTAGACTAATATACGAACTCCAAAAACGTGGTGTTTTTTGTATCATTTTAATCGTGGATTCCAGATATTATTTCAAATTGTTTACGAACTACCGGTATTTAAATATCACCAAATTGCAAATATCAGTAAATTACAGTGATCAAGAGGAATAAAGTAAACTTCGTCTACTACTATTATTAAAGTTGAGTGAAAGTGAATATTTTTTGTTGGATATCAACCTTAATCACAGACTGCAACCAAATTTTGACCACGATTTTTCCATGATACGATAAACTACTAAAACTAAAATATACGTGAAATGTAACGGCAATATTGAAGCGAATGAGGTTAAAACGTTCTATCGCCACATTTTTTTTTAAACTTGTATAGTTAGCTCGACTTCGGCCCAAGCTTTTAACTTTAGCCAAGGATTTTACCGATGTCTTGCCACCAATTGTATGTCCAGAATTGGCCAAAACGTATGCCATAGAATCATATCATAGTTAAACTTCTGGGATTATTGTTTCAATGAAATTGGACCATGATTAAGCCAAGATTTTGCCGAAGAATGATTTAGCCTAGTACCAAATTTGGGCCTCGGATTTTTCAACTTATCGTTCATTTCTAAATTCGAATGATTGAGGTATTACCAAAGATGTTGCCGAAGTTGCGTCATCATTGTACGTCCAACTTTGATAGCC